GGTTCTGCTTCGAGACTTCGGGACACTGGTGCAGCAGTGCTGGGACATCGAGGACTTCTGCAACTCCAGTAAGGCCAAGAGGGCCAAGATTGCTGAGACGAAGGGAACGAGCAGTTCCACTTCCTGGAAAGACAGAAAATTTGTTGGAAAGGGCAAAGGAAAACAGTTTGCGGCTAGGCAGGCGCCTGGTCAGTTTAATAGGACCTCTACACAGCAGGGAGGTTTTGCTAGACCTTCCTCCACTCCTTTATAAACGGGATGCGGAAAGGAGCATATGGGACGTTGTGCTACTGGGGAGCTGATATGCTTCAAGTGTGGAAAGAGTGGCCATATGGCCAAGGATTGTTATACTTCATTGGCTGGGACTGCAGCAGTTCAGGCGGCTCCTCTTCGGATGATTCCTGCTCCACCTGCTGAGGCCCCTACAGTGCCACCGACCTCTGGACGGGTTTACATCCTGGATAGGCAGCAGTCGGAAAGAGTTCCGAACCTTGTCAGAGGTAATGTTTCCATTGGTGGAATTGTTGTTGTTGTTTTGTTTGATTTCGGGGATACGCATTCCTTTATTGCAACCCCGATTGCTATGGGGCTTGAGTTGCACATATTTGTGCTTTCTCCACCGTTGTGGTTGACTACCGCCACCGGAGGAAAGTGTGATACTACCACTGTACATCGAGATGTCGTGTTTTAGTGGGATGACCGTGAGTTCTCGGTAGATCGAATGGGATTACCCATGGCTAAATTTGGAAATCATCCTTGGCGTGGATGGATTGTCCAATAGTTGTGTGATGATTGATTGATTGATTGTTGTGCCTAGCGGGTGGCGATGTCTCAGTGTGGTTCCACAACCAGTTCCTTGCCTTTTATTGCTACGGGCTAGGAGAGCCTTGTGAGCATGGACATTGGTTATGTCATGTTGGGAGGTTTGGTGAGTGGGACACAGGAGGATCTCACTGGCATTCCTGTGGTGAAGGAATTCCTCGAGGTGCTTCCTGAGGATATTCTTGAGTTTCTGCCACAGAGGGAGATAGAGTTCTCCATTGATTTGTTGCCTGGTGTGAGGCTTATTATTAGCTCCCTACCGGATGTCGCCACCAGAGTCGGCTGATTTGAAGTAGCGTTTTGGGAGTCTTTCGGTGAAAGACTTCATTCGACCGAGCGTGTCTCCATGGGAGCACTGGTCATTTTTTTGTTTTCAGGCAAGATGCCTTACGCCATTACTTTAGCGTGATGGTGTTCTGTTTGAGGATGTGAAATTCTTTTCAGTGAAACTGAGTGTGTAACACTTGGAATTTGTGGCAGCGGCCACGCGCGATGTTGTATATGCGAGACAATGCATGTACAAATCATCTCTGAGTTGAGTGGTCTCCATGACTCTAGGATCTTATGTTGATTATTGATATGCTTCATAAGTAGTTCGCATATTAACATCATAGTTAGTGTCAAGCATGAAATGAGTACGATAGATTGTTGTAATGTATCAATGTCATTTAACCTTTAATTGAGTTTCGATTTTGCAGAGGCCATGGAGATTGAGGTATACTGTTGCATTTAGTATTCGAATTATTATGTTACTAAAATTGAAAATTTTGCAGGTGTACGTGAACTAAGGTACGTTATTATGTGAATGAATATGCTAAATGACATGTGTTGGTTGAAATGAGTATGATTTTGATTTCGTAAAATAAACATGAATATAAAGTTATTTTGAAAATAATGATTTATCAAATTGTGGGACTAGTCGATGTTAAAGTCATGGAATAGGACCAAACTCACTCGTGTTTTGGAAATGAGGTAGTTCAGTTAGTGTCTTTTGCAATTTACATACAGGCAATGTTTTGGAAATGAATTAAGTAATTCAACTTGGTAAGAATAATGACGTCATAAATGAAAAGAAAAAGATATTCTGCAATTTTAATTAAGCGCAGCTTAATATGATAATATGATAACCTTACCGGATATATACAGGGTGTTACAGGTTCTTTGCACCAAATATCACTCCTTGGACCTCAAAATGCTAGAACAAAAGCTCCCCCAACCCAACTCTCAAACTCAGCACCTCAACACACCAACCAGAGGCCACAACTCAGTAACGAAGCAACACACACCCTCACAAGACCAACTCACCCAAGGCAATGGTGTTTTGGTAGAGGAACAATGAGTAAAAATGGCACCTTTGGCTCATAAGAGGGAGGGAAGGTGAGGGTGGCAAGATGAGGCTCTCAGCTGCTGAAGCACAAGGAGAAAGGCACGTAGGAGGAACAAAAATGACCTAGGATCATATGCCAAGGCCTTATATAGGCCACTTAAGTATTAAACGCACTGTATTAGCACTAATAGCTACGCTTAGTATTTTAGTCCCAAACTTAGAAATCAGAACCTAGCCATTTTTCTAAGATTTGTCATATTTTTATTTTATTTTTCGCGTTACTTTTTCAGTACGCGTTTTTACGAAGCCAGTATTAGTTCTGACACCAATTCTCATTATTTTGACCTGAAACTTGTTATACTAGTCCTATATATTATTCTAGTGACATATACATTCTTTTCATAATTTTCCGTGATACTTCTTCAGTACGCATTTATACCGAGGAGCAGAACCGGTATCTGCACTTTTTGTCAGAAAAGCGACTTTCAACATTATTAATCACTTACCATAATTATTCAAGTCTTCTCATAATTATTAGGCCAATTATGAAATTATTTCCTAAATTACATTTAATTAATTTAAATTCCTAATTTAACAGTGCGGGTTATTACAAGTTACATTCATTAAATTGACAGAAATCAATGACTGAGATGGGGAGTAGGACTTCTTAGTCTTACTGGAGTCAAAATATCCTTTCTCTTATATCAATGGCTGGGATGGACAATCAGACTTCTTAGTTTTAACTAGAGTCAGAACATCTCTCTTCAAATTAATTAATTATTAATTCCAAATAAATTACAGGCATTAGATAGACAGAAATCAACAAGTGCAATAATGAATAAGACTTCTCAGAGCCTGTTTGGCACTTTTTCTTTTTAAGCTAAAAGCTACTTTTAAGTTAAAGTAAAAAAAACATTAACTTTAAAAATAAAGTTAAAAGTTGTTTGATGATTATATAAAATTTTCATCTCAAAAGTTATTTAAAAGCTTTTCATTTCAAAAAAAAGTTGTTCATTTCAAAACAAATTGATACAACTTAAAAAAGATCCTGTTATGAACTTTTGGCTTTTGGCTTTTTTCTTCATTACAAAAAAAAACTATTTTTATTGTAAGAGTTTTTGTAAAAATTTGTTTGGCCCATATTCTGCTTATAAAAAGTAGAAAAGTTGTAAAGACCTCCTAAACAGAAGCAGAAGGTAGGTCAAACATATTTTTATAAAAGTTCTTATAATAAAAAGAGCTTTTTTATAATGAAGAAAAAAGTCAAAAACTTTTAGGATGAGCTTTTTTTTAACTTGTATCAGCTTATTTTTAATTTGAGCTTTTAAGTAATTTTTAAGCTAAAATTTTTATATATTCATCAAAATAATTTTTAGCTTTATTTTTAAAGTTTTTTTTCTTTAACTTAAAAGTAGTTTTTCTTAGTCTTATTGGAGTTAAAAGACTCATCCTCTAATAATACTATTAAGAAGAAGAAGAACGAAAGAAAACTCTCTAACTAACACCAAATGACTTGCCAAGGATATCAAGTTCATAGGAGCCTTGGAAATAGACAAATTGTCCAATTCGCTAACCAATGGCACCAAGCGCATTTAACAGCCAAATCATTATGAATTGTGGTGTGCTAGGAAAGGCATAAGTATATCAATGCTCCAGCTTCCGTTGTGTAACTTTTTTCTTAAAATACTGTTTACCGAAACTTTACTGTCCCGAGAAATTTTGTCATTCAAGTCATCAAATTCTCAAGTGCTTGATCTTGGACCCATGCAGTTCCCTTTTCAATTCACTTAATCTTGGACCCATGCAAAATAATCGAATCAACCTTTATCAGATGCAACCGAATCCTAATTTTTTAACTAATTCTGAAAATTGAATTGATTTTATAGACTATTTTAAAAAATAAATTGAAATAAAAGAATCTGTTCAAAAATCAACTCAGAATGCATTTGCCAACACAAACTGGTTTTGAAATTCTTCGGAACTGAATATAAATTATAAATTGGTTTTGAAATATAAATTGATCCTGAATTGGTTCCAAACCATGCATACCCACCTTTTACTTTTAAATTTTATTTGCTGCTTAGAAGGAAATGTTTCTGTAAAGAACCTTGGGATACACCACTCTAATAGCTAGCTCAAAGGGTGGGAATATCCAAGGTCTTATAAACTCCACATTAGTTGCACATACAACCAATGTGGTACTATATATCTCAACACGTCCCCTCACGCAAGAGCCCTTTGGGCTAGAAGCGTGGAATTGCACAGACCCAATTTTTGGTTACCTTTTTTTGTGTTTTTTATTTTTAATTCCATCTGAAAGTGGGAGGCCATGTAAAGAACCTTGGGATACACAACCAATGTGGGACTATATATCTCAACACAACCAATGTGCTTTTTATTTTTATTTAGAGCTAGTTTTTGGGTGGTGACCTCAAGGTTCTTTACATGGTATCAGAGCGTTCAAAATCTCACCGCCGCCCTCCACTTTCTCTTGTGGCGTTTCTTAGTACATGTAGGCTGGGCCTGTTGCATTGTCCACTCTTCAAGCCCAATGGGCTCTCGTGTGAGGGGGCGTGTTGAGATATATAGTCTCACATTGGTTGTACGTGCAACTAATGTGATGTTTATAAGGTCTTGAGCACTCTCACCCTTTGAGCTAACTTTTGAAGTGGTGTATTCCAAGATTCTTTACAGTTTCAATGCCCAATAGAATCATACTAAAGTCCTGCCTTTAGAAGTCTGAATGCAGAGCACATATCTGAAAGAAAATATTTAGTACTTTCACTCAAAGCTAACAAGCAAGTAGCAAAAAGTTAATAAATAATACTCAGCCAACTTATATAAATCCTTGATCATATGATTCATATCAGCTGAAAAACATCAATTACAAATTAATTTAATTCATCATCCATATTAAAATACCAATCATCACTTATTATATATCAAACACCTATAATTAAGGATATGATCATCAATAACCACCATATATAATGAGAGAAGAGACAGGCTGGTTTTCCAGCTCTCTCAAATCAAAAACTTGTAAAAGAGACTCTGGAATTTTTCCATTTCCTTAGGAGGAAGAGCCACTATAATATTTACCCCATCTTCACCACCATCTCCACCAAAAGAAGGAAACAACAATATAATATCCTTCCTGTGATACACCACTGGACAACAATACTTTGGTTTTCCCCATGGAAATTCCACATCTTCAAACCCTAATCTCCACCATGAAGACACCAAAACCTCCCCATTTGGAAAACCAGTATATAACTCTCCCCAGTCTATAGCAGACCTTGCATACTCATCACTCATTCTGTTTGCACCCTCTGCCACTATCTTCACCAAGCTTGAGAATGAACCTTTTTCTAGTTCCTCACACTTTGCATTAGCATAAGCTGTCAACACAGCATTCCCAGCGTATGATTTTGGCAATGGAGGATTCAACCTTGAACGTATATCCACAGCATATAGTACAGTTGATGATCTATTAGGATCATGTGGTCCTGATAAAGCCTTGCATCTCCATAAATGAGCGGTGATAACGTTGAAACCAGTGACACGTGTGGCACTGTTGTTACCCTTAGCTTTTTCCTTTAGGCTAATGATGTTTTCAGAGGTTAACCGAAAAACCTTGAAGTCAAGTTCTTCTGATGAGGCCTCAAAGACCCCGGAGTCAAGGCCTGTGGGTAGGTTACCGAGCTTGATCAACTCAGGGTGGGGGAAGCTGACACGTGGAGGGGATCGTGCGGCTAGAAGATGCCTGTCATGGCAGGGTATCACAGCCAAGGGCTTGTTAGCAGCCAATGCAGCAAGGTTGTCCAAGAATGTTCTGAAGCTAAGACCGTCAAAGGTGGTATGACTGGTTGTGATCCCAATTGCAAAGCCACCACACTTGAAGGATGTCAACTGTTAAGTATATGCAACAAATTAATTTATTAATCAATCAATTAATTGTTGTTCTAAAGTATAATATTTATTGTTTAAGTACGTGAACTGTTTTTTCTAATGCCTCACTTTTAGGGGATTTCTAGAGAAAACTTGGACATATGATATTTAATTAGTCCTTTTGAAGTTTTCTATGTGAACTGTGATTGATTAATAAAATACTATGAGAATGACAGACGGTCCTACTCAATTAATAAAATGTTTGATCACATTTAAGGGTATATATACATGGTTATACAAATATTATGTTACAGGAATCGTCGGTAATTTTCTTACAGAGACAAAAGTGAAAAAAGAGAAAGTGATAGAAGAAAAGAGAAAAGAAAATTGTGAACCCCACATTTTCATTGTTTGTGCAGGAAAGTAATTACTTTTTTTCTGTACCATGATATTTGTATTACCCATATATATATATTTATATATAAACGAAAGGGTGAACGATCAATTTATATAATATACAAATTCTTCCAATACATTGGCCACATGATTTTTTTTCCTAAATTTTCTATATTTTTGAAAATTTTAAATTTATAATTTCATTTATTTTAATTTTATTAACTTTTGATTTTTATCATTTATATCTTTCTTAAAATTTCATATTTTAAATAAATACAAAACAAGTGTGCAAAAAATTTTAAAAAATTAAAAAATACATATTTTATTACATATATTCATCTTAAACAGAGAATAATAAAAATATAATATTAAGTACTATTTTCAATTATTTATAAATTTTATTATATTTTAATTTTATTCTTTCATTTTTTAATGAAAATAATATTTATTTTGTTTATGTGTAATTGATAATATATTTAAATTTTATTTATACTAACAAATCTTTATAAATATCAGATAACAAATTAAATAGAAATCTGGTATAGTACATGATAAGTTGCATTTAATATTTAAACTTTTAATAGATCTTGAATTATTTTATTTGATGAAAAAGATAAAATTTTCAATAAAACAATTAAAACATAATGAGTTTGAGTACTAAAAATTAATTAAACTTTATGGAAACCTAGCCATAAAAATTTAAAACCAATTATTTTTATGAATTGTTTATAATTATAAACAAGTCAAAAGAATTGTGAAATAAAATCATATTAATTAACTTTGTTTAAATTTATATATATATATATATATATATATATATATATATATATGGGGGAAAAGGAAATTAAATAATAAAATTATGTATATACGAGATAATATGTGCATAGTAAGTGTCTATTAAGCTAGAAGCTACTTATAAGCTAAAGCTAAAAAAAAGAGCTTAAAAAAAGAAGCTAGAAGCTGTTTGGAAATTATATAAAAGTTTTAGCTTAAAAATGACTTAAAATCACATATTTCAAGAAAATTATCTCTCTCTATCTTTATCACTCTTCATTTAAAAAAAAAAAGCACACAATTCAAGAAAAACAGATAAGAGATTAAAAAAAGCTCCTCCTAGGAGCTTTTAGTTTTCAGCTTTTTTCTTCATTATAAAAAAAGAGCTTTTCGTTATAAGAGTTTTTCCCAAAACCTGTTTGGCCTAGGTTATACTTATAAGGAGCTTCTAGCTTTAAAAAAAGAGGATCCAAACAGGCACTTAGAAAGGAAGCTAGTAGATAGATAAGTTATTAAATGAGGGGAGAAAGCTGATACATTATTGGAAAATAAATAAAGGAAGTTAGTAGATAGATATGTTATTAATGTGGACATAAGTAATATGTGACACTGCCACATTTCTTATGCCCTATCTGCGGATAGATGGCTGTAAAGTCATCATGCGTCCAAAATTGCATTTAATTCAAACTACTCTCATAATGTAGCCACCCCAAAAGAAAACTGTAGCTGATGCTACACACAACCGCATGCACTAGACCCCAACTTTACATAAGCAGATATACAATGAATTAAAGATACGACTTATGGAAGCTAAAAATTTGCAACAATATTAGAAATATTTTATATACCTGAGCAACACAGAGCGGCTCATCACCTGGTTTAAGGAAATCCTTACTCTTATGAACAAATTGTTCAAAAGCTGGATTAGGATAAGTCAAGTCCCCAATCTGATCCAATTTGTACTCACTAGAAGCCACCACAAACCCTGCACCTTCTGCGTTGCAATCTATCTCTAACCTGTTTGTTTCTGAGTTCAGCTTCAATCTTCCAGCTAAGAAGTCATAAACAACTAGAGCATCTCCTAGGGCGTTCTTGAACTTCTCGGTCACTATTTGGGGTGGAAAATCTTTGTTTGCTGCAAAGAAGTGAACCGTTTCCACGTCGAAATTGAGGACCTTGTCTATGTTTGATAAGAACAATGACTTCTTCTCAGTTTCTTTGGATGGAAAAACCATTGTAGTTTTGTGGATGGTCACTTTTAGGTCTTGAAGAAGAGGTGGAGCTTCTTCATAAAAGTTTGCCATCCCTTTTGACTACAAATTGGAGTGAAGTGAAGTGTGTAAAGTAATAGAGTGTGTATGTGTGTGTGTGCGCGTGCGTGATGTGAGTTTTGTTCTGCTATGGCCTTGACCTTATATATATATATATAGTGGGTGTGATGTTTAGACAGGCATGCACCATGTTTCATATACCATAACGTATTCTATTTGTTGATTTCAAAAAGCCTTGGAACCAGTAATGGTTGAGATTGTGACACGAATTTATATGAGGAAGGATAGAAAACCGAAGGATTTGTGGATGAAATTAAAAGGTCATGCCAAGGCCATCTATTGCATAAAAATCAAGTAAAGCAAGCCCATATTTTGTGACAGACACGTGTAGGTATATATTTGACAATTGCGTGTCCAGCATTTTTCATAAGCCAGCAAAGCAGTATAGTAGGCTAGTTGCTTTGTTATTTAAAGAGGTAGCAAAAACTAGAAAAGGTGGTTGATAATTAGGTACACCGAAAGATTAAGGGACGCAACATGTATCATTTGTAGCTTTCCATGGTCACTGCCATTTTTTTATTTTCTTTATCTCACCAAATTGAGCTCAAGACCTCTTTGAGTCAACGCAGTCAACGTGGTTCAACGTTATGAGTTTGGTCAATTCTTTTTCTTTTTTTTTTGGTAAACATGGTCAATTCTTATTACTGTATATGAATAGTTATTGTAATGGTAAACTATTATTAATTAATCATCATATGAGCAAATATAGAAAGGTCAATAGTAGTTCAACTATTTTTCATAGTATAATTAATTTAGTAGTTGTAAGTAGATTATTATCTCTAACGAGACAGCCATTCATCTTCATAATTTATTGATTTGAATGTCATTTCAAATATCAATAAAAGCCGTAAATGAGTTTTTGTTTTTTGTTTTTTTTTCAAAGTGAAATGTGATTTACGAAGGCTCACAAACTAAAAAAAAAAAAAAAAAAATCTTTTTCTTTTTCTTTTTTGTTATTTCGTTGCGTCACCCTACCTTACAAAATGCATGTTTCTAGATCCATGTTATAAACCAGAGTCCTGAACTATTCCTACATAGAAGGAATGTTTTTGGTGGGAGAGGCAATGTGGTGCTGAGGCTTCCATTTGTTCGAGGTTTTTACTTTTTAGCAACCATACCTCGGGGTTGAAGGATCGGGCTTGCTCACATTGGAGCTCTTTCCACATGCCACTCCAATTGATGGATAAAACAAAAGGAGATCTCGATCTTCGATCTGCTGCATGTCAAACCCCATCGCAGGTGTGAGATGCTTCCTTGAATGAGAATGGGATTCGTATTTTGTTTCAGGCATGTCGGACTCCTTTGATGAATAAGATAGAGAATGATGGATAAGATAAAACTGTTGGATAAGAGCATAAAATGATACGAGATTAATAAAATTATTACATATCCCATATGTGATGCGCATTAAATAAGTAATATGATAAGATAATGTTATTATCTTATGTTTAAGGGAAACTAGATAGTATATATCATGAGATAATATAAATAGATAAAATACCCTTTATAATAGATTTTTTATTATTTTAAAATAATTTTAAACTAATTTTTTTTACTTATGTATACCTAATTAAGTTCCTATTTTAAACTTTTAAAAAATTGAAGTCAATAATATATATATATATATATATATATATATATATATATATATATATATATATATATATATATATACTTTAGAACCGAATTACGGTCATGAAACTAACAATGAAAATTGTTACCTTTAGGCCAAGCCCAAAATGATTTATCATATTGAATAGCCTGAAAGTTGGACAGAAACAATCAAGACCTAAAATGAATCGATTTGGACCAGGTCTAATGATGCATGTTCTAAGGTATCAAGAAGCACATCTTACTCCTTTTTTCCTATGGAATTATCTTTCTTGCCATAACATGTTTCAAACAAGGAGATGGTCTTGTTGTTAGACCTCACAAGGTAAAATCCAATGTTGATTGAATTGCTTTCTGACCAAGGATCACCAAGTCACATGTATGTGCTGATTTGGAGGTCCTAAGTTTCATTCTTGCTCAACCTTGTAAAAGGGTTTGTTAGCCACATTACATCAGTATCATGTAAAAATGAATATGTTGCACATGAATTAGAGGAGGGAAAGAAGAGCCAAGAAGTCACATATATTTTAAATTAGATTAATAACAAGCTCACACTTGTTCACTCTATTAAAAACAAACTCACCCACATAATAATATATATCTTAGAAAATAGTATAAACCATTAAAAGACTTTACCCAATATTTTAATATTTTGAATTGAAATGATTCTTTACATGGTATCAAAGCCTATGAGACCAAGTGGCCACGACTCACCAGTTCGATCCTCACCGCTCCCACTTTATAGTGAAATTTAAAAAAAAAACACAAGGTAAACTAAAAATTGTGCCTGTATAATATCTATGCTTCAAGCCCAAAGGGCTCTTGCGTGAGAGAGTGTGTTAGAGAATATTATAAACCATTAAATAGTCCATCACCCAACACCTTAAAATTTTGGATTAAAGTGATTCTTTACATGGTATTAGATCCTCTATAACCAAGTGGTCACAAGTTTGATCCTCACTGGCCCCCATTTAATTAAAAAAATAATTAAGTATTGTGGAATTTTTTAGCACAAGTAAGCTGGAAATCGTCGAACTACAATTATAGCTTCTCCTTGTGATCCTTTTTGTGTAGGAGTGCACCGTGAATCTCCATTTCCAGTTCATATAATTTGTGGTCAATTAGACTTGAGCGGACCTACCTCAGGCTCACTCTGAAGTGAGAATCAACTTGAAGTTCTAGATTCTATAATATGCAAAACATGTCCGTCTAAAAGGACATATTTTATTTTTATTTTTTGCTTTTTTAGTTTTTCTTTCTTTGACTAACGTGGAATATGATAACAAGAGAGAAGTTATTAAAGCATTTTATAATTAATTACAAATAAATACTTAAATGCTAACAACATTTGAATATAATGATAAAAAAATAATATTTTTGTTAAAAAATGATAGCTTGTACTTTAAAAGATACAATCGTTAGAAAAATTATATTAATCGCAAAATATTCAAATAATTAGTATATAAAAATATCTAATAAATAAATAGTAATATCTTATCAATTAATAAATATATAGTTGTATGTCCTTGTATTGTAATAACTTAGTTGACTCTTAATTATTATTTTTATGTTAAATTGAAATTTTTTTCTTTTTTTCTTTTTCTTTTTTAATACATTTAAAATTTTAATTAAAAAAAATTTGGGAGCGCTAGCCCGAATCCGCCGCTAAGTATGCAGACATAAATAAAATTTCTTGTATATGCCACTGAGTAAGCGTGCTATATAGCATATACTAAACTGTCTTGAGTCTTAAGCAACGTCTCACACTTCAAAGCTCTAAAGCTCGTATTAACATAGAGCTTGAGGGGCTTATGTACCGTTTCAATATTACACATAACAACCACCTCCTCATCCAGTGGCGGCGGAGTCGTGTGTTGTCTGCGTGTGACTTCGGTTAGGGTTAAATTTTAATAAATTGTATTTATTATGTATAATTACATAATTAATTATAATTTGGCTGGGTTAAAATTGTAATTTGGCCCTGACTACAATTTATAATTAGACTCTATCTAAAACTTAAAATATTTTTGGTAAAAGATCTGGGTAAGTTGTATTAGATTATGTGTTTAATTTTTACTTATATAAAAAATATTTTTTTTAGTAAAATTAAAAAATATTTAATATAATTATAATTATTCTTAGTGTTGTCTACTCAGGTACTTTGTATTAATATAATTTAAATATATTATAATATGAACTCACTAAAATTAAGAAAAATAAATACAGATATAATTTTTTAACCCAACCTCAAATTGAAACTTAAGTCTGTCACTGGTGTCCTCGTCTCCACCCAAAGAAGATCATTAGAACGTTGAGTCAATCACCTAGGCTGCTAGGCACATGCCTTGCATTGGCAAGATAATCACGCTAGCATATGTCCTATCCTAGCAAACCATCCACCTGGGTGTCTGACCCATTAAGTCAAATTGACTCTCAGACTAGCTCCTCGGGTACCTATATAGACCACCCAACAACACACACATGTAGACGAAGACACATGAACATAACAGAATCTCATGATTACTGGCAAGACGTAGCTAGGAAAAATTATTGTGTAGGGCCTACTCCTTAAGTACGAGGGACCTTCTGCCCCTCCTACAAATATGAAATAAGTATGTATTCGTTCTTTGTAGACATATTTGTTAATTTTATTATGAAAAAAATATGTATTATTTTGAAATATACAAAATTATATTATTTTAAATGAAAAAAGAGAGAGAAATCATGAATGAAAGAATGGATGAAAAACAATTTAAATATATGGGTCTCACTTTTTTATAAGAGTGAAAGAATATAATATGTGTTATTTAAATCTCCAGTACCACTTTTGATAAGAGTTTAAAGCCTTAATCCTGGACCTGTCCTGAATCAGATTATTTACGAAGCAATGAACCGATTGGAATATTTTCAACAACAAAAAAAATGACACAACTTTTCCTCTTTATTATTGCCTTCAACATTAGATTATTTTTCCTCTACTTTGCAAGTTCCCTTCCTTGGTGGATCTCAGGCATTGGCAGCCTCAAATTAATGGTAGAACTGCCTCCTAAATAGAACACATAGATATACAATTTTATTAAATCTGTATCAGTCGGGATATCGGGTGTACGTAAAAAAATATGAGAAAAGTTCACCAATGTTTCTGTAGTTTATTTCAGAATTATCTATGTCTCTGTGATGTTTTTTATCACATATGTCCCTGTTCTTTGTAAAAAAATAAAAAATCACAGGGACATATGTGATAAAAAAACATACCCTTTTACAAATCACAGGGGCATATATGATAAAAAAAATCACAGGGGCATAGATGATTCTGAAGCAAATCACAGGAGCATTGATGAACTTTTTCCAAAGAATATATAAATAATAAGGATTTAGTGTCTGTTTTTTTTTTTTAGATAGTATATGTTCTTTTAAAGGATATAAGTTTATGTCTTTTCACCTTATAACTATGTACTCCGAGATTATATAATTATAATATGAAAATTATTTTTTTCTCTTTCTACATCAGCCGACAAGTTTCTGAAAAGTTTCTTAAGAGAGAAGAAAAACAACTTTAATATTATAATTATGTATTTTCTTGAATACATAGTTATAAAGAGGTGAAAGAACGTAGTAAGTTTATATTGTAACTCCCTGTATATATCTGGTATGTTATCATGTCATCGTATTAAGCTGCGTTTAATTAAA